AGTGCAACAGTAATAGATGTCCGTCTAGAAAATGCGTGAAATATGCGTTCTGTGTGAACGGCTTGGTTTCGGTTTTGATGTAAACAAGATCTTCTCCGCATTGATGTTCTCATTTTTCCGGAATTTTTTTAATGAACAACGCAGCAGCGCCGCATCTAGTGGCTTCAACTTGATAGGCTAACAAAAACATTATAATGCAACGACACTTACATCGTCATCGCGTCTCGTGCGCCACTGATAAGGCTTAACGCACACTTAAAATTCGAATGCAATGTTTTTGCATTCAAATGTGGATTTTTATTTTAAATTCGACGAATATTCGAAATTCAAATTTTTTTTGACAGCCCTGGTGCCCACTAGAAGCTTGCGTTCTGCAAGTGAAAGACGCATTATTGTGCCATCTCAAAGAGATGTTATTTGACCCTCTATCTCTAGCACTTTCTATTCTATTTTAATTCTACTTTATCTATTTATCTTCTTTTTTATTTAAAAAAAACTATTCTATTCTATCTACTTGTTTTTCTTTGTGTGTGTGTGTGTGTGCATGTTTATGTGGTTTATGAGACACAAATTTGTATAATAACATGGGTATGACATAGGTATTACAATGAGAAGGTGATTTATGAGGACATTTTCAGTGTCCCCGTAATTCAAAAGGCTTATAAATAATTCAGAATGAGTTTTTTTTTTAATCTAAAAATGCAGAAAGTTTCCTGTGAGGGGTAGGTTTAGGGGTAGGGTTGGGGTAGGGCAATAGAAAATACGGTTTGTACAGAATAACGCATTACAGTATAAACCATTACACCTATGGAGAGTCCCCATAAACCATAAAAACACACACACGTGTGTGTGAGTGTGTGTGTGAGTGTGTGTGTGTGTGTATATATATATATATATATATATATGCTATGTGTACTGCGTTAGGCTAACCGAGACTTGTCATTTACACTTACATATTGTTGCTGTTTTGTTAGTTTTGATTGCTTCTGTTGGCCTCATTTGTAAGTAGCTTTGGATAAAAGTGTCTGCTAAATGACTAAATGTAATGTTTTTAATATATTTGTATGCATTTCTAATTATTATTTAATATATGAATAATTATATTTTATTATATTATTTTTTTAATCTGAACTATAATATCTAATTGAATTAATTTCATTATTAATTATGACTATTTTTATTGTTTTTTATTTATTTATTATCTGTTAAAAATAATTCATATTTAGACTTTAAGGCAAAAAACAAAATCATTAAAAACAAATTGTCTGAGGAATTATCTGGGTGTTTAACATTAGATAATGATTTGATTGTTGAAGTTTGAGGATCTTAAATGAGGTTATTATTATAGTGGCAAGTGTTTTTTTCTTTCTATCAATGTTAATATAGGCACATACTTTTAATGGACTGAGAACACAGTTCAAATGAAAATCTGTCTTATGAAATTACTGGCATTTCCCTGTTCTTTGCCAATACTTACAAGAATAGTTCATTGTTTTTATGCTCTCATGTTATTCTTTCATCTAAGGAACACAAAAGGAGAAACTGCAAAATATATGGTTGACAGAATTCATAAAATACAGTTACTAAGCTACATCATTTCTGACAGGCTCACCTATAATAAATGTTTACATTTATATGTTTTCTATAAAACATTCTGTAGTCACAAAATGCACTTGCTTTTGAATGGCTGTCTAGAGATAGATGGTTTGCCTCCATTATGGTGTAGTTATGGCATCTACCATAGGGCTAACCAGACCTAAGCTCATAATAATCTGTTGGTCTGCTGCCATCTAGTGAACAAAGCAGAATTTTTAGTGATAGTGAATTAAGAGAAAACTAAAACTCACTGCTCTGCCAGTTGTGTTTTTTAGTATCTCTCATCGTTTAGCTTCTAATATCAGGGGTTATTCTGTTGTCATTTGTGCTGGATGTTCTCAATTTTGATATTCACATACAATATTATAAACAATGTTTTCTGTACAAACTGTCAGCAGTGCTTGGTCACAATGTTAAGGGGTTGAGGTAATCAGGGCATTGCTGTGCAGTTGCTAAGGTTTTCTGATTGTTTTTAAGTGCATTTCAGTCCAGTTTCCTTCAAAACTGATTATTTTAATGGCTTTAGAAGGCCACCATGTGGGTTTTAACCTGTAGTCTGATTGCTTAGATAAGTAATAGCAGACAACAAATTGGAGAATTATTAATGTCTGTAGCACAAACAATGTGGCATGCGTTGAATGCCGAAGTTTAATTGGTTACAAACTTACAGTGTATAACAATACATTAGGTCCAGTACACATGAAAGACTGTATTAACAGTTTGAATAGGTTTGTACTTGTCATTGAAAAACACATATCAGTCAACCACATATTATGATGATGTAAAACAACGTTTTTTATTTTAATATACATTCAAATATAATTTATTTCTGTGATGCAAAGCTGAATTTTCAGCATCGTTACTCCAGTCTTCAGTGTCACATGA